GTCAAAGACCTCAAAATTCGGATAAAGTTATAGTTTCATATGAAAGTAATATAATAAAAGAAGTAGAAACAGCAAAATTTCTTGGCTTAAAAATAGACAACAGACTCAATTGGAAATGCCATACCGAAGATCTTTGTACAAAAATAAGTAGTTTATCTTATGCGTTATATAAACTGGCATCGACAGTGAACAAAGATGCGTTGATGACGGCATATTATGGACTGATAGAGTCGCTGCTTAGATATGGTCTAATATTTTGGGGAAATTCTACAAACACCGATATGGTATTTAAAATGCAAAAGCGCTGCATTCGGACTATGTTTAGGATCAAAACTACGGACAGCTGTCAGCCACTGTTTAAGAAATACCATATACTAACACTTCCGTCACTATATGTACTAGAAATAGCTTTATTTGTACGAAATAACCCTCAATGGTTTCCGCTCTTATCAGATAAAGTTGTTAGAAATAGACGCATGAAATATAAGCACTATTTACGACTTCACTCAGCGAAAACCACTCTACTTCATAAAAGTGTATTTTGTATGGCACCGATAATTTACAATAAAATTCCAGAAAATTTAAAAGCCATATGTAATAATAATATATTTAAAAAAGAGCTAAAAAAATTACTTTTAAAAAATTGTTACTATAGTGTTAAGGACTTTATAAATGATACTTTATAATTTCATTGTTTCATAGATTTTTGTTTTGGTTAATTTGTTCTGATAATCTTTAGTACCTAGTTTTGAAAATATTTTGTACGCCAATTGGGGCAAGACATGTTGAAACTAAGCAAGCTATTTATGTAAGACCATCTACGTTTGCATTTATGTATAATGTTACACATGTTTACGCAAATAAATATATCTTTATCTTTATCTTTATCTTTAAGTATGTAAGAATGACGTTCCATAGACTCTGCTCTGCCTACCCCTGGAGACAGGCGTGATGTTATATGAATGTATGTTAATATACATATTTCAGAGATGCATTTAGAATGATGATGTCATCGTTTTTAGTTAATTAAATGCTTTATTTTTCGCTAATATGTCGTGGTAATTCTTTCTGGGTATTTTCCCAGCTGCAGATAATCGACCGGAGTGGTACATCGATGCGGAAGAATTTTTTGGCGCTCTTTAGAATAGAATAGAATAATTTATATGCATTGAATGTAGGTACATAATATAAGGTCTTACAAAGGTATATCGTTCCTGGTACATACTACCATATGGCATGCAATTTTTTTTTAAATCTTAAAAGCTATGAACATTTTGGACTATACTACTTTGTAAATTATCTATAAGACTATTATAATTAGTAATGGATAACATAATCCTAATAAAATTTACAAAATTCACAAAATAAATAATAATAGTATTTTTTAAGTTTTCTTTTATATTAAGTAATTGTAAGTAGTTATTAGTTTAATTCAATGTTATTATAAAATGAAAATGCTTGATAAACAGACAATGAACTACTACTTTATTTCAAACGAGAGTGTATTACATACTATGAGATAGATGGCGCTGTTATTCTGTTTTATGATATTGTCGATACAAAATATAGATTAAAAATAACACCCCCACTTATCGCAATATTCATTAAACAATTTCATACAAAATCATTCTATACAAACTATACCAAGAAACAACATAAATTTATAATGTTTTGCTGAACATACGCTTTTAGTTAAAATGTCAGCTGGCATATCGGCTGTAGGCAGATACAATATTTTAACAACTTTATCTTTCACTAGATCACGACAAAAATGATATTTAATATCAATATGTTTTGTACTAATTGAATATGTTGAAGCAACATAACTCTTTGGTAAACACCAAGTCGAACTCTTTGATGATATCCTTCAAAGACACTCATCTCTATCTGACAACAAAAAATGACAACTGTCTGTCACAACCGGACCGTCAAAATAAATAAACAACAATACAACTATACGTAATTAAAGAAACCAATTATAGATGCGAAAGAATAAAGTTGTGATCACAATAATGCGACGCAAGAAATCTTAGAAGTAGCAAATGACAGACCCATGTTCGACAAAATTACGATTCTTTACTTTAGTTCTGAATACCGGCGACCTTTTATGTGAGATAAACAAAAAACGAAATGACTATAGTAAAATTACCCATGCTATTCTAGCCCCAATTGCGATATTCAGCGTCTATATAACTATGGGAACATTCTATTTTGGCGCTTTAAAGAACTCCCACGCGTCAAAATTCCTGCAGGCATACTCTTCAGCTACCTGCAGTTTTTTAGAAATCTTTTTAGCTATCAATGCTTTCCAATTACAAATTGTACAGTATAAATCGTCAATGGTAATTATGGGTTTTTTATCTCTCAGTATTGGGATTTTATGTGCCGTCGATTTTATAATAGTGCTTTCGACTAATGTGTTATCTGTTGAACCGCCGGTGACTCTAACAACAGAACCATCTGCCTTCGAGTTATCTAATTTAAATCAAAAACCGGTATTGAATCCATTGTGACGTGATCTTTGTGTTTATTTTAATATAGTTTTTCTTATTGGTTTGTTATTTTATTTATTGTTTTTTTATTTACTACTAGCAGCCCGTCCCGGCTTCACACGGTGTTGACAATTATTATTTATTTTAGGAAATTTGGATTGTTGTAGTGACATAACTACAATAGTTGGTCATATGCTACTGCGGAGTTTTTTGTAGACATTATGATGTTCTTCAATATTGTTGTACATTATTTTGTTCTATCGCTAATAGTTTCGGCAGCGCATTCGACGAAAGACATTTTAAGACTCATTTTTCTACACCTTCGGTTACATTGTTCAAAGTTTACCAAGGATCCCTAATTTTTTTCAAAATGAAATGTAGCCCATGTCAAATTGGAAGAATGTAGCATTCTATTGGTGAAAGAATTTTTTAAATCGGCCCAGTACTTTTTGAACCTATTCATTACAAACATACAAACATACAAAAATAGGTACAAATCTTTCCTCTTTATAATATTAGTATAGACTAGTAAGAAATTATGTTAGACGGATTTAATGACCTCTATTCTGCCAATCAAGCGCTTTACGTTTGATATCCATAATGGAGGTAGTTGTGAAAAAAATAGATTATATTGTATTAAGATTAAGAGCATCTACCAAAAATCAGATCTATTTGTCGTTAGAAAGGAGGTGAAATTCCAATTACTAAAATTTCATAATAATTTCGTTCATATTTCGTACAAAAATTTAAGAATCATCAACATTTGGAGCATGTGACAACCTTATTTATTAATTATATTTGATGGGCCGACGTTTGACCACTATCTCGCCTAGTGGTAAGCGATGATGCGGTCTACTATGGAGCACGTCGACCCATAAGCAACCTATTCACTCAGGCCTGGCTGCACTCTGTTTCAAAATTTCAGTAGGTAGGTACCAGAAATCACCGCTTGGCGGTCTCTGTCAAATGTGTGATCTCTAGTCAACTAGTAACGATACGTATTACGCTACGGTACATTAGACGGTCCAACGGGTTTTAAGGGGGGAAAATCATCGAATGACTGCTCCCGCCTGGGTGAGACGGGAGGGAGTGTCAGACTCTTACTGACTAAAAACAAACCTTTTCCTACTCGTTCACGTCGAGCCTGAGCCGTGAGACCGGTGTAAATGAGGAACTTTTGTGCATCGCCACAACTTTCCGTCCACGAGGCGCGAACTCAGCATTAACTCGTCGAGTACCGGTTTTATAGACACAATTAAAGAACAATAGGTCGCGGTCACCGGTGACCGCTTGGTGTTTGACAGTTTAATACTCGATCAAATTTTATCCCGTGTAAAGAGCGTCATTCTTAGTACAAATTCGACCAAGTATCACCTACTTATTGTAATTTTAATTAATTAAAGTTATATTTTAAGGAACAATATGGTTTCCTTTGCATACCCCGGCTACAGCCTACTTACGTAATTCACGCACTCGCGGGCAGACGATAATAACAAAATATAGGTACTTATCAATAATAGTTGACACATTTCTAAAAACCGCATCAAAAATTGGTTCAGGCAATCGCGAGTTAATCATACATACATACATTTTAGGCTTTAGGCTTAATTCATTGTTTCCCTAGCAGTAATTCGCTGAGGAAAGTGGTAACAATCGTCTTGTTTCTTCTCCTCTTATAATAATTTATCATATGACTAGCTTTTACCCTTCGCTCGCATCACAAAAGGATAAAAGTAGCCTATGTGACATATACCAATACACACAGCGCTATCTATACCAATACTTTTGTTTTCCCTCGGGAATATCAAATTTTTCCGGGATAAAAAGTACCCTATATTTAATCCAGACTTCTAACTTTACGTCTGCAAAAATTCAAAGCAATCGGTTCAGTAGTTACGGCGTGAAAGCGGAACAAACAAACAAACAAACTCACTTTCCAATTTATAATATTAGTAAGGAAGTAAGGATTTATTTCGTTGCGGGAACCACGACAGTTATTCATGTCCCTGGGACGCGCCGGACTTCAGTGTTTTCATAGTTGTATCTACTGTAGATCTTAGCTTACAGGAGTTGCAGCGGTATTGGGAGGCTGTGCCGAGCTTGTCCCATAATATAAATACATACATGCATACAAGTCAAACTAGAACTGCTTTCTTTTTTGAAGCCAAATTGTGATATTTTGTAACAAATGCGCCTAGCTTCACTGACGGACAGACTGACAGACTATTATTTATTTCATATTTGTTGACGTTTCAAAAGTACCTTATTATGGTTGAATTGAAATAAATGCTTTTGAGTTTGTTTAATTCGGCACGAATCGACCGGAGTGATACAGCCTCATAGAAAACCAACCTTATGATCCCTAATCTTGAAATTCTCAAATCGCTAACCGCAAAAGGCCGGCAACGCGCTTATACGTATGACGACGACTGGCGACGCTGATTGCTTACCATCAGTTGATCCGGCTACTTGCTTGCTGCCCCATCTCATACAAAAAGATAAATCTAATTATACTAGTAGGTACACCGTCCATTTTATTTTCACTATCTCCTTGGGGTGAAACTTAGTCAGAGAAGTCCTTACCTTATCAGCAGGGCTCTTCGTAGTGTCAGCAGCTGTCTGCAGTGGTGCATTCAGGGGTGTTGGGGGTGTTGGGGGTATTGGGGGCACTGCGGATATCGGCGTGGTCGGTGAAGCAGACTCTTGACTCGTGTCTGGCTTTGGACTTTTAGGACGGATTAGAGCATCGGAAACTCTTTTCCATGGTGTTGTCTGGGGCTTTGGGGGTATGGGGGGCATTGGGGGTATGGGAGGCATTGGGGGTATCGGTGTGGCGGGTGGAACTGGCTCATGACTCGTGTCCGGCTTTGGACTTTTAGGACGGGTTAGAGCATCGGAAACTCTTTTCCATGGTGTTTTCTGGGGCGTTGGGGGTATGGGGGGCATTGGGGGTATGGGAGGCATTGGGGGTATCGGTGTGGCGGGTGGAACTGGCTCATGACTCGTGTCCGGCTTTGGACTTTTAGGACGGGCTAGAGCATCGGAAACTCTTTTCCATGGTGTTTTCTGGGGTTTTGGGGGTATGGGGGGCATTGGGGGTATTGGAGGCATTGGGGGTATCGGTGTGGCGGGTGGAATTGGCTCATGACTCGTGTCCGGCTTTGGACTTTTAGGACGGGTTAGCGTATCAACAACTCTCTCCCATGGGGTTTTCTGGGGCATTGGGGGTATGGGGGACATTGGGGGTGTCGGTGCGCTGGGTAATACAGGCTTTTGACTCATTTCTGGCTTTGGACTTTTAGGACGGGTTAGAGAATCGATAACTCTGTTCCATGGTCCTTTCTCGGGCACTGCGGGTATTGGGGGCACGGGAGGTATCGGCGTGGTGGGTAAAGCAGGCTTTGGACTATTAGGGCGGGATTTCGTGGTCTGGAAACGAAATGGTGCTGTGTTAAAAGACCTTGCCGTAGCTAATAGCTATAGAGCTACTGAGACAGTACCTACTTTAATTTTTAATTGCTTACATTTTTTTTTTAACAACCATCTCAAAAATATCTCTTACTAACGCTACTGTGTTACGACGCGATCAGTTTTCAACAGTCCCGCAGTCGCTGCAGTTGCGATTATCGCCTGCAAACTTGGCAGTTGATAATCGCCAGACTGGCGGTTAAACAATTACGTTTTCGATTGGCCCTCCTATTTTTTATTTATTTATATATTTAACACATCCTAACAGGTTACACCCAATGTGATAATGTTGTCACTTAATATAATGACTGCACGGTTGGTACGGTGGCTGGGCAACCGGCTGCCGTGCAACGTGTCGCGAGTTCGATTCCCGCACGGAACAACACTTTGTGTGATCCACAAATTGTTGTTCCGGGTTTGGGTGTCATGTGTATGTGAACTTGTATGTTTGTAAACGCACCCACGACACAGGAGAAAATCCTAGTGTGGGGCAAAGTTTTATTCAAAAAAAAAAAAAAACCTATAATTAACATTGTTATACAAGGTGTAGTTTTGAAACCGTGTCATATCTCGGGGGCATGTCACAGACGTCATAAAGGTTCAATGTAAGAGAAAATTTCGGGCCAATAGTTAAAAATACGGCTTTAACAAATCGTTTAAGTTGGACAGTATTTCAGAAAAAGCGAAAGCAATGCTTCTTATTGGAGTTTTATGGAATTAGGAATACCTACTATTAATTACGTGTTTGAGTTTGTGTGTGTTAAGCCGCGTTATAAAGCTAGTTACAAGATGGCGGCGTGTACTTCGCACTTACGGATACCCGTAATTTCAGAAAAATGAAAAATACCTACCTTTTTTTATTGATTCGGATTCAGAATCGATATCCGAGTTACCTCCTAGAAAATGACGCGGCTTTAAATCAACACCTTGTATAACACAGCCATACATATTAATTGCATTTATCCATCAACTACATATGTAAAACCAACAACATTAGACAACTATTGCGATCGCCCGCCAATCGATTGTACAGTGCGCGGGTACAACCCGCCGCGCTGTGAGACCGCGGGTACAGCGGCAGCCGCAACCAATCGACACCGCCGCGGTCGCAAAACGCGTCGTGAAATGTGATTTCATTTGTTACATACATATCTGTATTTTACAAAGGTTGCAGGCCCGCAAGCGCGGGTAAAATCGCTTCGTGAGCCCTTAGCCTGAGAGTTACTATGTGTGATGGGACCACCTAAACCAAATCTTACCTCACTTGTATCACTAATAGGGTCACTTATAAGTGGACTAGCTTTTACCCGTGGCTTCGCCCGCGTCGGATAAAAAGTAGCCTATGTGACATATACCAATACACATAGCGCCATCTATACCAATACTTTTGTTTTCCCTCGGGAATATCAATTTTTCCGGGATAAAAAGTACCCTATTATTTAATCCGGACTTCTAACTTTACTTCTGCAAAAATTCAAAGCAATCGGTTAAGTAGTTACAGCGTGAAAGCGGAACAAACAAACAAACAAACTCACTTTCCGATTTATAATATTAAGTAAGGATAAGGATGAAAACCAAAAACTTCGTCATATATCCTAATTTATCTTAGTTTAGGGGTTTCTTAAAATTTAAGAGAGGTTTGTAAAAATGTGCAATCCAGATGTCCTTACCTTATCATTAGGGTTCTTTATAACATGGGCAGCCTTCTTGAATGATACTTTTTGGGGCATTGTAGCAGGTATCGACGTACTTTTTAAAGCAGGCTTTGGACTTTTACGACGGGTTTTCGTGGTCTACAACGAAATGGTACTGTGATTATTGGATTTGACAAAAGTTCAGTGCACCTTTATCTTAAAACTACCTCAGGCCGACTCCGTCGCAAGGAATAGTGATTCACAGGTCCTCCCCCATAGGTGATATCGTAATAATATTTAAAGAGGTACCGTAGGTGTATAATCACGTACTACAACAGGCTGGTGCTGAAAATCAGCGCCGTGGACTCGAGCCTTCGTACCCGGGCCACGGTATTGAGCTGAGCTCCGGTCTTTTGCGCTGCGACGCACCATGTGCTTTTTGTGTGTATTCCTGTTGTGTGTCGTGGCCTAATAAATTAATTTTCTTTTTTTTTCAGATGTATGTCACCCATGGATGAGTTTTTTTTATACCACGACGGTGGCAAAAAAGCACACGGCCCACCTGATGGTAAGCGGTTACTGTGGCCTATGTACGCCTGCAACACTTGGGGCATTACATGCGTCTTGCCGACTCTTAAAAAACCTATTCACTGCCCTCTTAAAGAACCTCATGTTGTAGCCCACTGGGAAAACCACGGCAGGGAGCTCATGCCACAATCGGAGGGTCCGTAGGAGAAAATTCCTCTGAAACCGAACTGTACGGGACCATTTTGGCTCCAATGAGTGAGCGTGAACCCCCTGTCGATGAGTAATGTAATGTAGTCAAGGCTTTTGTCATAAGTCCTTACCTCATCTTTAGCGTCGGCAGCCGACTTCAATGGCGTGTCCGGCTTTGGACTTTTAGGACGGGTTAGAGAATCGACTACTCTCTTCCATGGGGCCTTCTCCGGCACTGCGGGTATTGGGGGCACTGCGGGTATCGGTGTGGTTGGCAAAACAGGTTCTTGACTCGTCTCTGGCTTTGGACTTTTAGGGCGGGTAAGACTATCAACAATTCTTTTCCATGGGGCTATCTCGGGTACTGCGGGTATTGGGGGTACCGGCGAGGCTGGTAAAGGAGGCTTTGGACTTTCAGGGCGGATGTTTATAGGCTGCAGACGAAATGCACAGTGGTTATTTTTTTAAAAAAACGCACTAGTATTTTCTCCTGTGTCGTGGGTACTTTTAAGAATATACAATATCACATACACATGATACCCAGACCCGAAACATCAATTTGTGGATCACACAGAGAGTTGTTTCGTGAGGGACTCGAACCCGCTACACGTAGCGCGGCATCTGGTTGCCCAGCCACCGGTGCAGTTCGAATCAGAATCGATTTGGCGACACTTTGGTTGTATCTATATATCTATAAGTAATAGATATTCTTAAATAATGATGGTGATGTTTTAGGACTGCCTCGTTGGCCGAGTGGTCGCAAGTGCACCTGCCACGCAAGAGGTCTCGGCTTCGATTCGCAGGTAGGGCAAAGTATTACTGGGTTTTAAAAAAATCGCACGGAGTCTGGAATTGTGCCCAATATTAGGCAATAGGATCACCCCCTATTACATGGGACTCATAACATAAATAGTGAAAAGTGGGTGTTACATTGTACAGTGGCATTATGTGCACCTATGCCTCTTCCCCTTCGGGGATAAAAGGCGTGATGTTATGAGATATTTTAGAGTAGTCCAGCAGATACTGATTTCAATGTATGTACACCCGTGTTCGCACAAGGAAGCTTGAATTTTGGTCCAAGGTTCTTTACCTTATCAGTAGGGTTCCATTTAGTGTCTATAACTGACTTCGATGGCGCTCTCTGATCCATGGGCATGTCTGATTTTGGACTTTTAGGGCGGTTTAGAGGACCGACAAATCTCTTCCATTGGACTTTCTCGACGACTGCGGGTATTGAGGGCACTGGGGGCATCAGCGTAACTTGCAAAGCAGGCTTTAGACTTTTATGGCGGGTTTTAGTAGTCTGTAATCGGAATGGCACTGCAGTTACTCTGCCGTGGTATAACTAATTATAACCATAACCATTATCATAGTAAACTACTGATACCTACTAAATAGTAATTTAAATATAGAAGATCCAACCGTCAAACTATTTATATATAGTTTTGTTGGACATGGCGTTAGATTATAAGGCATACCATGTACCTTTATTATTAATAAATAAATAACTATAATGCCGTTATCTGCTGAAGTCATTTTTTAATAACACAAAAAAACGGCGGCAAGTTACAACTACTGTAGTTCGAAAGTATGCGATTTCATATATGTTTTGGTACTTCCAAATCTCTGATATGTGTTATCATCGAAAAATTACATCGGTTTAAAAATTTGCCGCCGTTTTTCGTGTTATTAAAAAAAATTACTTTAGCAGATAACGGCATTATAGAGGTAGTTATACCACGGCAGTACTGGATTTGAAAGAACGTCGGCCGCATCACCTCCGTTTTTAGGTGATTTAGTATCACACAAACTTTTGCATTAAGATTGATATTAGTAAGATTTTATATTTTCTCAATGTCTTTAGGGACCTACACTTAAGTCTAACCTTATGGCTGTGTATAGTATCGGCAGTTGGCTTCGATGGTGGTATCTGATGCATTTGTGTGTCCGGCTTTGTAATTTTAACTCCCTTCCATTGGTCTTTCTGGGATACTGCGGGTATTGGGGGCTCTGCGTGTATTGGGGACATTGGGTGTATCGGCGTCGCTACTAAAGCAGGTTCTTTAGTTTTAGGGTCGGTTTTTATCTGAAATTGGAATGGTATGACATTGTGGTTATTGGGCATAACAATATAGCAATAATATTAATCCTCCTGAAACATAATTATTGATATAGTCATTAGTTTCGTTTTATTGAATAGGAGGCAAATGAGCAGATGGATCACCTGATGGTGAGCGATCAGCGCCGCTCATGGACATGGATTCCATTGACTGATTTACAGTTTCATATTCTAATTCTTAAAAAAAGTAAGTACGTACCTAGTAATTCCAATGTAAGGCTTTCGCATAAGAACAAGTTTAGGTAAAATACTGACAGATGAACTTTGGAAAGAGAATACTCATAGAAAACCGACGTGAAACAACGCTTGCGTTGTGTTTCGTCGTGTTAGTGAGGTTAACCGGAGGCCCAATTACCCCCCTCCCTAGTCCCCGAATCCTCCACAATCCTCAAAAGGCCGGTAACGCACTTGTAACGTCTTAGTGTTTCGAGTGTACATGGGCGGCGCCGATTGCTTACCATCAGGTGATCCGTCAGCTCGATTACCGGCTTATGTTATAAAAAAGAGACCTAGGATGCTTCATCAACTTTAAAAATAGTTTAGGAACTATTTTTAGTTGGTTGCTGATAGAATCTGAAGACGTAATATACTCAACTGTTGACACGGATGCTTCACTGGTGGTGAAAGACGGATCTGATGTTGAGACAGAGTTTGAAGATTCAGCTGTGGGTATAGTAGCATAACTTAAGACGAAGTCTGTAGACATATCTCCAATTGTAGATATAGACGCTGCACTTGATGAAGATGCGTTAGACACATTATCAACAGTTGGTACAGGTGGTGGATTATGCGCAGGTACTACCAAAGGATTCTCAGCTCTATTTAATAAAAACACTTTTCGTTTAACTTTTCGTGTAGCACCCAGTTTTCCCAAAGATGATTTTTTCACTAAACCAGTGAAGGATCTGTAACAGCGTCTGTGGAAGCCACCTTCCAATGAATTGGCTGGTAGCAAAACATCTTTATATTTCAGGTTATGTAGCTTTCTATGCTTTAATATCACTCGACACTTTTTCAAAATCTCATCCGTAAATAATGTTAAACTCTCATCATATTCTTGACAAAAGACACATTTTAATTGCTGTGCCATGGTGTAGTGATTAACGTTGGGAATTTTATTATTTTCTCTAAAGAAATACGCATTGTATACAGGTTTGGCAGTTGTATTGTCAATTCACCTATACTTACATTATACCAACTCTTTGCCTATACTTATTACTCTTTGATTGTCAAGATTGTTGTATTCCCACCTTATTATATCTATATAAATAAAAATGAATTTCCGATTGTTAGTCTCGCTAAAACTCAAGAACAGCTGAACCGATTTGGCTAATTTTGGTCAAACTATTAATTAGGTATAGTTTTGTTGGACATGGCGTTAGATTATAAGGCATACCATGTACCTTTATTATTAATAAATAAATAAGTAATAAAATAATACTCTTTGGTTAAGAACACAGAATCGGTGGTCAAGATATTGTAGCTAATTCACATTAGGCTCGACATACAGTAATTTTTAACGGGTTTTTGATGAACTGTACCTGTCAATTCTATGTAAACTCCCCCAAACCCCAAATCCTTGGGTGCGCTGCCGACCTAAAACATCACTCGTTTTTTTTAAGGGGGGAAAAATTATCGTATAACCGCTCCCGCCTGGGTGAGGCGGAAGGGAGTGTCAGACTCTTACTGACTAAAAACCACCCCGTTCCTTCTCCTGCACGTCGAGCCGGAGCCTCGGTTACCCGTTAGGTTCTCCGCGACAACATCTCTCGTTAAAAGGCCATCAACGCTTCTAACCCTTCTAGTGTTGCGGGTGTCTATGGGCGGCCCTGATTGCTTACCATCAGGTGATCCGTCAACTTGTTTGGTCATTTAAAAACTACAGTCGTTGCAAACTTTGACTGTACCTATCGTTTTACCACTGTCCTGTAAAACTTGAAGTATTTTTTTCTGAGTAGGTTTTTGTATGTAGTAGACATTTTAAATGTGATATTTAAGTTTTGCATCTGCGGCTGCGGGGCAAGAGATCTCAGATTCGATTCCTGTACGAGCCCTTAAACTGTCAAACACCAAGCGGTCACCGGTGACCGCAACCTATTGTTCTTTAATTGTGTCTATAAATACGGTACTCGACGAGTTAAAGGGAGCAAGATTATCGTTTTATCTTACGTTTTCACCGGACAGTCGGTGAAATGAGCATGTGTAAAGGACCTTACCGTGTCAACCTCCGGGGTCGTGCGGTCCATGGCCCTCTACGGCGCCCCTGTTTGGGCGCCGAACTTGTTGCGGCGTCCTGCTCGGACGCTGCTCATGTCACAGAGGGTCATGGCGATCCGAATGATCCGCGGATACCGCACGATCTCTGGGGAGTCGGCGAACCTCCTTGCCGGATTACCGCCGTGGGATCTGGAGGCGAAGGTGCTCGCGCGCGTGTATAACATGCGCGCGGAGGCACGTCGCCGGGGCGAAACTCCGCTGCCGCGCCAGATAAGTGCGTGGCGGGATGAGCTCCGGCGCGATCTCATGGCGGAATGGCAGCAACGACTGTCGCAACCGAGGGCTGGGCTCGCTGCCATTGCAGCGGTAAGTCCCCTCTTTGAGGAGTGGCTTGAGAGACGCTACGGCGTCCTTACCTACCGCCTGACGCAGGTCCTCACCGGACATGGAAGTTTCGGGAGGTACCTGTGTCTGATGGGGCGGGAGGAAACGCCCGGGTGTCATCACTGCGAGGACCGCCCTGAGGACACGGTGGAACACACAGTGGGAGAATGCCCTGCGTGGGCTGAGCACCGCCGTGCCCTCAGGGAAGTGATCGGCGATGGCGACCTCTCGCGTCCGGGCCTAGTGCAGGCCATGATGCGGAGCGAGGGGGACTGGGATGCCGTCTCCTCCTTTTGCGAAGCAGTCATGCTAGCTAAGGAGGAGGCGGGACGCGTGAGGCAGCGAAGCGCTGCCTCCTCGCAACCCAGCCATCGCGAAGGACACACCGGGCGTCGGGGATCGCGGGACGATCTCCGGCCACCGTAAGCGCGGGCCTGCGGACGGCGAGCATGGGTGGCTCCCCGTCCGACCAGAAACAGACCCGAGCGTACGGCGCGTCGCGTTCCGCGCGCGCCTCAAAGAGCCATCAGACCACCACAGATGGGGCCCAATAGGGCCGATGCCGATTCGGAGTCGCGGAGAACCTAACGGGTAACCGGGGCTCCGGCTCGACGTGCAGGAGAAGGAACGGGGTGGTTTTTAGTCAGTAAGAGTCTGACACTCCCTTCCGCCTCACCCAGGCGGGAGCAGTCATTCGATGATTTTCCCCCCTTAAAAAAAAAAAAAAAAACCGTGTCAACCTGACGACTACAAGTTGTCAACTTTACTTGATGCCTATATTTCCTTCATAGAGTAAAATGCCAATGATTTCCTTCTGTTTCCTTCTATCAAAATGATTTAGAAATCAGCTGATTAGTCCCGTAATTATTTAGGTTGGGTTAAATAGATTTTAATACCCACAGAATTTTTGTAATCGATACTTGTTATGTAAAAAGGCGCCATCTATTATAGTCATGATAAACTATTTATTTACTTAAATTGTCAATAGATGGCGAACCGTGTACATATAAAAAATAAAAGAAATAAACAATTAAAATATGATTTTAAGTTTCTTTGGATAAGATTTAGATAAAAAAGGGTCAGGAATCAGGATTAAGGTATTTTTTACATAAAAAATAAAACACAACCAATGATATTATTCGAAACAAATGTAATAAAGAAAATTGAGTATTCGACCACAAAAAGATAGTAATTAGTAACCACGGATAGTAACTACTTATAAATTATTCTTATGATAGAGATTCTTCACTTACTGTACCTAAAGTGAAATTAACTAATATCACATTTATTTTGGGACAATAACAATTACAATATCTAATTTTATAGGATAACATTGATAACTTTAATTACTTAGTATGTTTGCTTACTCCCGTAATTATTTGACGAGGAACTCGACTACTTGGGTGTCTTCAAGGCCCGAGTGTATAGGTTGCTTATGGGACGACGTGCTCCATCGTAGGACGCATCATCGCTTACCACAAGGCGAGATAGTGGTCAAACGTCGGCCCATCAAACATACTAAAAAAAGTTTTAAGCAATGCTAGAGGCTTATATTTATGAGCAGCATTAAGGCGACTGTCGCGCTGCTACTGGCTACTCAAGTCTACGGTACGTTCCCAGTGCGCCCTCTGCCGTGATCCACGCGCACTTTCTTATACTGTGGTATAGGCGACGGCGGCGCGCGCGACACTGTTAGCACGTTAGACTCGTTCGTCAGTGGCTGAGTGAGTGTTAATTCGTATCCCGGGTTGACGCAGAAACAGTGTTAAATGCAGAGCTCACGAGCATGGCTTGAAACTAGTCGAGTTCCTCGTCAAATAATTAGCCGAAAAACATAATAATTATTTTGTTTGTCCCACGCAACTTATATGTATATATTGACAACTTTGTTATTTTATTTCACAATGGCTTTGTAGTGTAGTATGTGAATGTTTGGATTACTTTTTTCAAATTAAATGTTAAGTAGAATCGCGGTTTACTCACGTGAATATACTGAGAAAAGCTTTGCCAGTTTCGAACCACAGAGAGGTTCTTCCTAATGAGCAGCGTGCGCGGTCGCGGCGACGTCGCGCAGCTCACTCACTCGCTAGTAGAGCTTTTTCAGTATATTCACGTGAGTAACACGCAATTTGAATTAATTTAGTATGTCTCACGATAGTTATTACAAATTAAATATGTCAAAATATATCTCAGTTATATTGACAATGCCTTTAAAAGCTGTTATATCACCACAGATGGGGCCCACTAGGATCAGGATTGCAAAGTTACCACGGCCCGGGTCAGAAGTCTTAAACGCTATGAGAGTCGTCACGTCACTCTGGGCGTCGGGGATCGCGGGACGATCTCCGGCCACCGTAAGCGCGGGCCTGCGGACGGCGAGCATGGGTGGCTCCCCGTCCGACCAGAAACAGACCCGAGCGTACGGCGCCGAGCGTTGGTGAGCCATCAGATCACCACGGATGGGGCTGATGTCGATACGGAGCCGTGGAGGGCTTAACGGGTTACCGGGGCTTCGGCTCGAAGTGCAGGAATAGGAACGGGGTGGTTTTTAGTCAGTAAGAGTCTGACACTCCCTCTAGCCCCACCCGGACGGGAGAAGTAATCGGATGATTTTCCCCTCTCAAAAAACAAAAAAGTATTCGAATACCACAGTAGTGCATAAGAATAAAATTGTCTATTTATAACGAAACATGTTCCGTAGTAACACCCAAACATAATAATTATGTATACTTGGCTTTATCATTTGACACTTTATTAATAGTTAAATACAAGACGAATTTCGGCTGCACATTTTCAGTTAATATTTTTAATATTAATAGATGTTTTAAATAATACGTAATAAAACTTAAAGTTTATGTAGCTTGTCACAAATTCAATCGTCAAATAAATTTATGGAACCGATAAACGGCAAGCATTGGCCAGTTAAGTTAGTCGAAGTTTATGCGGAGTTTAACATACACTACATTGTTCAGAAACACACATTCATAAGTTATCGAACCAATAACGGTAATGAATATAAACTGCCGATAAAAGTACCTCAGAAAACAGGCATTATTACTATTCTACCAAGCGAAAGGCGTTTGATATCCATAATGGAGGTAGTTGTGGAAAAAAAATTGA